GGCCCCACACTGCAAATTTATTTTTTAACATTCCACACATGCAGTTTATGGTGCCACAAAGAGGTTTGTAGCGCCACAAACTGCACACCCCTGCTCATCCATTTGCAACCAGTGACTATAATGCCAAATGCACCATGTATGGTGACTTATATTGGAAGTCAGACCATTCTAAGTCCAGTGGTGGCTTTAGGGTTCTTGGGGCTCTAGGCAAGACAGTCATTTGAGGCCCCTTAGAGGTTTAATTTTGATTACCTATAAGCAAGTTGGACATTTTCAATTTCAGTTTTACTTTGCCCTATCCATGAAACTGCAATGAAAGTATCTTAATACAATATTGATAATACAAATATTCAGTGTAATTAATTTTTATTATTATTATAAAGTGTGGGGCCCTGGGGCATCACCCAGTTTGCCCTCCTCTAAGGCCACTACTGCTAAGTCATGGCACTATTCTAGATATCACTTTAGTAAGTGTATACATCGGCCAATTGAGCTGTGTCCATGCAAGTGAAAGGGGACTCTGGCCTGCAGTTCACAGGGTGATCTGAAAAATGGAAAGGTGTCCACTATACCTTCTGTGTCAACTGGACTTGTGGTGAGAGGTATCATGTGGAAAGTGAGCACATCTACACATGTCCCTATAGCACTGTTGTTACTGCACCATCGTTAAGTACTTCCTTTTGGAAGTACTAAATGATGGAACAGTAATAGCCTATACTGCACCGTGCACACTGTGTATGTTTTTTTTAGCTGCTACATCTCCGTAGCAATGCGCTATACTGAGGGAGTGCGTCACTATGGTGATGTAGCTGTGGCATCACGGTTTTTGCTCGTGGACACAGCATCACATATAGATACGCCCAATGTAATTTTGAGAGAGATTTGACAGTGAAGCAAGTCAGCTGGTATCCCACAAGCGGTATTGGGCTTGTGACAGAGAGCTGGAGAAAGAGTAGTATTGTACACATGTGTGTATACTTATTTTCTTAAAGGATTAAGTCAGAGACCTTGAGTTTTGCTGCTAATGGTCCACCAGGCTTTCTTTTCTTCCATCCAAACGCAGGCACTCATTCTTTTCCCTTAGGGATTCTGGCTCATGTCTTCCGAGAGGCTTCTCCTGTATGAAGTTCTCTCATGAGGACTGCCACTCATAGGCTTTCCAAATAGTACAGTCTGAACATCTCTTCTTGTCTTACAGGGTAGGAATTTCAAGCAGGTATAGTCCTATGTGAAGAAGCCTGTTCTTTGCTCCTAATGTTGCTTATTCAGTTTTCCTAGTGATTCTATTGCGAAAATGAACCAATGTTGGAAGCTTGTTCCTTCCTCTGATGGGCCAGTGTCCACCTTCCTGTGACACAGAATCAGACTTTCTCTTGTCTGTTCTCCCCCTGTGCCCAGATTGAGGAAGGTGCTCTTGGTCATATCTGGCCTATAGCTGGGGCTTATGTTGCTGTCGAGTGGCATAGAAGGGTTGAATCAAATTCTCTCTGGGGGAAGTGAGCCTAGAACCTATCCTGGGAAGGTGCTCTAACCTCTAGGCTGCTGAGCAGAAGGTGGAGTACTGTACTGTCAAAGGAAGTACTTGTTGTTTTAGGTCAGCTGGAAGCTAGGGGAGGGTTGCATGCTGCACTTTCAGCATAGCTGACTCACGATGGAATGTCAGTGGATTTAGAAGTTTCTGAAGCAACAATGAATAGCTTCCAAGAATGTACAAAGGGACAAAGTCATATATGGCAAAAATGTAGCCACATAAGGCATTTAGCTGTGTGCATGCGAGACAAAATAGTATGCTGTTCAGTAACTTAAAAGTGTAAAAACTATGCAAGTGCCATGCATCTTAGCAGGTAAATAGAATTCAGTTCTTATTATCTAAGTAGGCAGCAGGCAAGGCAGGGTGGCCCATTAGGGACTAACTGGTTCGGAGGCATGACCTTTCATAGGCAACAACCTTCTTTATGAATTGTATTAACACAATCCTGTGGTTGCTTTGCTTCTAGTGCCATACCAGACTTTTTACTTTATCTATCTTTTTCATGAAGAGCAGAAAGCTTTTCCTTTATCTTGAAAGGAAATATTTACAGCCAAGTAGGGTTTATGAGAAGTGTGGGTGTCACCCAAGTAAGAGGACAAATGCTCCAGTAGATAGAAGAGTAGTCTGGGATCCCAGACTCCATTCCCTGTCTTGCCTCTGACTTGCTGTGTGATGTTCAGGGATCTTAGTTTTCTTTGATTTAAAAAAATCCCCAGTTTTTTAACTGAAAAAGGTAACACCAAATCCACATTTTTCCATGATTTAAATAAAACACCACTCATATATAGATCTATATAGATAGATAGATAGATAGATAGTGGTGTTTCATTTTAATCATGGAAAAATGTGGATTTGGGGTTACTTTTTTTTTAACCAAAAATTGGGGATTTTTTTAAATCAGAGAAAACCAGGACCCCTGACTGATGTCAGACATGTTCTATTCATCTCAGTTTACATTTTGTTAAATAGGCATCACAGTCCTGAACTACTACTCAGAGGCATTATGAAAATCAATTACATTTTGTAAAGCACAAGTACTGAAGGAAAGAAAAGCAGTGTTATGGGAAGCCAATGGTGATTTTAATAGTTCCTGGCCTATATCCTACATGGCAGGGCAGTGGAGGACCTGGTTCTAAGACATAGTTATTACTGTGAACATTAAAGGTTTGCCATCTTTACTAATGTCAAACAACAATTGACAACTTATTGTCCACAATAGCTGGTGATAAAACTCTATCAATAAATAATCATTGGCAATTCATAAAGCATTCATCTTGTGATTTAGTGGTGGAGGATGATAAGCAATACCTTCTGATGGGGAAAGACGAGCAAAGCATTGACCACAATGAATTAAGTGCTCCTTAAGCAATAGCAACTGCTATTGCAAGATCCACCAACAGTTATTAAAGTAAGATTCAGAAAGTGCTTTCTAGCACATCCTGCAATCTGAGGGCACTTGTGGTATCAAAATGCAACTGGATTTCCATTGACTTTAGCAGGCTATGAATAAGGCTCCAAAACATTTCCCAGCATTAGAGGGTGTGCCCTATGGGCATGTCTACACTGCATCCATGCTGTACTCAAGAGCTCTACTGTGAAGTACAGGCAGTCCTCAACTTACAACATTTCACGTTACAATGTTTCGCACTTGCAGCATTTCTAAATTGACACCCTGTGTCAACTTTCTGACGTCAGTTTAGACTTACAACGTTTGATCTGATGTGACCCCATGCCAGCGAACAAGTTGCTGTGTCACCCATCTCCCTGGAGAACATCTGTCGAAACTTCCTTGGACACTTTCTTTAAGAAAGCAGACAAGACTCCAGAAAAACCTGCAGCCAAGACTCCTGAGAAGACTCTAGCCAAGAGCCCTTCAAAAAGAATTTCTTTACCATCCGAGCCCCCAAAGTCTGGAATAGCCTGTCATCAGAGGTGGTTTAAGCACCAACATTGAACACCTTCAAGAGAAAATTGGGTGCTTATCTTGCTGGGATGACCCCAGCTAACTTCCTGCCCTTTGGGCAGGGGGCTGGACTTGATAATTTTCCAAGGTCCCTTCCAGCCCTAATGTCTATGAAATCTATGAAATCTATGAAAAAGTCCAGCAAAGGCACCTCAAAGAAGTCCTTCCAAATCAATATGATTGCTATTTACAATATAAATACATTAATGTAGCTATATTACTCATCTATAATTGATAGAGTACAAAATTCTGGGGTATTTTTGGCGAAAACAGGGTATCGGGCCTTAGTTCAGGAACAATCCCCCACTTATACCATTGTTTCCTATGGGAAAATCAGTTCTGAGTTACAACATTTCAACTTAAGACACGGTTTTCAGGAACCAATTGTGTCGTAAGTCCAAGGACTGCCTATACACCCATAAATGGAACTAATCCTTATTTCCCTTTTCTTTTATGTCCCATAAGCCATTAAAGTTTTAGGAACCATAACAGAGCCTATTTTGCCTTTTTCCTGTGAGTTTCTTTGAATCACATAATATCAGTGGTTTTCAAACTTCCTAAAGTTACAGAGCCCTTTTATATCACTTCTGCTGCTGCGACACCCCTAACCGTATTCTAAAAGCTGACATGGAGCTAAGTGACCTGGCCCCACAATGGTGGTGCACTGCCTCCTGGCCTGCTCTGATATTACCCCAATCTCTTTGCAGAACCCAGAGTTCCACAGAACACAGTTTGAAAACCACTGACATTTATGCTCTCTGGATGAAACTTATTCATATGACTGGACAGTGGAGCAAAGTGGAATTTTGCAATGTAGATTTGGCCTGAGCCTAACTCAAGAAGACACATTTGACTATATGAAATGTCTGCAACAGCATCTCTGTGCAGGTGCAAACTGCTGTGCATTTCAAAGGCTGTAAGATTCAGATTCCAATGATGATACATGAGTGTCAACTCTTTCACTATCCAATAAAACATGGTAGCGAGAAGAGACATTTCACAAAATGTTTGCTTATGTGGGGAGGAATGCAAAGGACTAGTTTGTGGGGAGAGGAGAATGTATATTAACATGGGTAGATGTTCAATACCACATGGTTGTGTTGCCATCATGGCAATTGTGGCAAATGTGGCCACTAGGCATACATCCTCTTCCATTCTCTTCCTTTTACAGAGCTGAGATGCATTTGAATTACATTGCGGAGAACATATAAAACACAGTGGCCTGATTCTCATTTACATTGGATCTACAAAAAGGTAACACTCCGTTAAAATAAATGGGGGTACTGCTAATTTACACCAGTATGAAATCAGAACCAGGCCCATTACTGTTACAGCCATTTACAGATCACCTGGTACTTCTATACACAGTCATCAAATAATCTTTCTAATGTTAATGACCCAGCTCCTTTCTGTTACTTTGGTTATTTAAATGGAGCTGCTACAGATTTATTCCCTAACAGAATAGAATTGGGCCCATATTCTGTATGAAATGATTTTATTATCTCTTATAGGAAGGCTCCTGTTTAGCAAACCAACCACAAAATACCTGCCAGACTACTGAGTCCGTTCTCTGTAAAAGGAAGTGACATCAGAAGTGACAGCCTAATTTTAAGTTTAACCTACAGCCTGATAAAGATTTCTCCTTTTTTCCTTCAAGATGAACCTAAGTCACTAGAGCTGGATGCCTTAACTCGGGAACCACAATCAGATTTCAAGACATTCAGATTTCACGTTCCCATCCCAGTTTAGCTAACCACTTTTTGATGTGTGCTATCAAAGTAGCTTCTCTACTTTAACTCTGAACTTTTGCAACTGCTTGAAACACTTCTTGATATGGAAAAAGTAGAAAAGGGTCTCACTATGTCTAGACCATGTTGGACAGCAGTAGGGAGTGTTACCATGAATATATGCCCTGCTCACTCAATTCTGCTCTGAATGCTGTGTCACAGATGTAGCAAAAGCAGGTGGGAAGAACATGTTTTCCTGGTGACACTCCTTCATACCCTCTGATGCAGTAAAGACATGTATTCAGTTGCTACCTATTTTTTTTCTCCATTATTCTTATACAAACCCGGCACCATACTAATAGGGAGAGGGAAGACAATGGTGGAGTTCTTCTCAGTTGCCATTGTGGTTAAGGTCTGCAGGTAGCGCAGTTGAAGTGCTACTGGAGATTCAACCAGCACTGTGGAGGCCTGTGTGAGTGCTTTTGAAGCATTCATTTCTCCTTCAGCTGCTACAACCTAAAATAGGATGGAAATGAGCACTTGTAAAAATGTACAATACAGCAATAAGGATCAGTCTGGGTCATAAATGTACCACATTTCAACCATGAGAGGAAGAGTGCTGCCCAGGGGTGGATCCTGGGGGGTGCAGTAGTATAACTGCATCCCCCTTTGATTCCTGCTTCATCCAAACTTGAAAGCCAGCTTCCCAGGAGGTGCAGTGGCATTTCTATTCAGGCAGCCCAGAGGGAGTCAATTGACTTTATGGCTCCTTATAATCTATTTGATCCCTACTAATCTGTCTTCACTCCACAGGTGTTAACAACTCCCTTTCCTTTTTAATGGCCTTGATGTTCCATTAATGAATCTATCCTCAATTCTGCAGTTTTGCTATCTGTTATACATTCCTCGTAATATATCTCTTCTATTTCACAGCCCTGCAGGCTGTTTTTTGCTTTAGCTAAGAATCTTAACTCAGGTTTGGTAATATTAATTTAGATGCATATTAACTCTGGTGTGAAAATGATTGACAGTGAAGTGCTGGGTGCACTTTCAAGATGCTTAAGAAGACTAGATTTTGTTTTACAAATCTGAACAACAGATGCACATTTAACACTAGTGACTACAGGACTGATAGAATAATTTCTTTTGACTATTTTTGCCCAGCTTTTGTCTACCAGATTCATGTGCATTACTATAACATTATATTTATTTTTGCTTTGATCTTAAACTGAATAATATAGCGCACTCCCCTACCATATTAGTAAAGCATCTAGTCTCTCTTCAACTGGAAAAAAATATGTGTTGTTATATGTAATGACACCATCTGCATCCCCATTTTCAAAATTTGTGATCTGCCCATGGTGCCTCCAGTCTCACCTTAGCTCTAGCCTCTCGTGTTGCTTCTGCTTCAGCTGCCATAGCCCTCTGCATCTCCACAGGGATCCTGACATCTTTGATTTCCACACGTGCAACTTTGATTCCCCATTTGTGAGTGGCACTATCCAGCATAGCCTTGAAAATAAAAGCACGATGACTATTGGAAACAAAACGATGGGAAATACACTCCCCAGAATGTTGAATGCACAGTAGAATGTTTGATACTAATCCAGTGTTTTAAAAAGATTTTTTTTAATTAAACTAAAAAAGAATAAATGGGAAGAAATGGTACTCTTCACAGGGGTATTTCATGGGTTGGTCCAAAGGATAAAGAAACCCAATAAATTACTGATTGTGAATTGTTCTAATCTGTTGCATGCATTGAAGAAGCCAGAATGTACTTTGATGGAGTTAAGGTCATTATTTTCAAACATCAATTTTGCCTGATGCTAGTCATTTTGGATGAAACCATTAACTTCAATACTGGTTAGAAATGAACTGGGGCTGCAGTTTAAATAGCTCGTGAGAGACTGTATTTGTGGGGCAAGATACAATAGAAATCTGCTGGTAAAGAAAAAGGAGCAAGAAGCTATAAAAAATTTGGTATAACTAGCTAAAAGAAAGGCATTCAACCTTTCATAGCAGGCAAGACAGTATGTAATGAGTCACAGAATAGTGATAGTGATAGACTGATACACTGTATTTTTGACATTCAGGCATGTATCATAATGTCAAACACATGAGGGTTCTGGTCCACGACTACGGCTATTCCAATACTGTGAATTAACAATGTTTTGACTGTTCATCATTACATTGGATATAACCTTATGATATATTGCCTCTCCCCCTCAGTATCTCCTGGCTGCTGTAAGGGAACATGTCTGTGTATGCTGAGTTGCAGGAGGAAGGAGGCTGCTCCTTTCTTTTGTCTCTCTCTCTTTCTCTTTCCTGGGTGCTAAGAAATAACATTTTCTTTCTTTTTGGATCTCCCTCTGTGCTGCCAAATCAACAATTAATTGATTGCTAAAGTGAAGAAGGTAGTTTTAACATTGGAACAATTCTGTTCAATACAATGCAATACAATTACTTTTATTGAAATGACATGAAGATAAACTATAATCAGGTTTAAACTTTAATCAAGTATCTATGCAAGAAAGGCCTTCCCAAAACCAGTATATCTTTCCACTGTTGCACATTACTGCTCATTTTTGACGACCATCTATATTGTCTTGTGTACTTCTCCCAAGGTTACATTTAAAAGATCTTGCTTGCTAGTTTCAGGGGAATCTGGAGAAGTATCTTTATAGTATTTCTTCCATTTCCTTTCAACAGCAGAATATGTGATACATGAAGAAAGATGATGGAGTATTAAAAATCACTTTTAAGAAAGTGCATTCCTTTTCAGTGTGCATTTTCATAAAATGAATCGCTCTGAATAGTAACAAAAAACATTAGGTGTGGATTTACCTGAATATTATGGGCAATCTCTTCCCTACTGGACAGGATCTGAGACAAGTTTTGTGTGCCTAGAACATTTCTCAGAGTTGTCTGTGCCAGCAGGTAAGTTGCCAAATGGACATTAGAGACATTAGCCACTGAACTGATCGCACTGTAGATTCGGTAGTAGACCACTCCATCAACTTGGGTAGTTACAGAATCTTTTGTGAGGATCTGCAACAGAGAAAAATGTATAAAATCAAATGATGATCAAAAATACAGAGATCCCAATGTTGATGAATCTTTTGTTTCTGCCATCATGAGAAAAAGGTCAAGGTTAAACCCATATGGCTAGTGTATGTACCAACCCGTACAGCTAGTGTGATTAAGGCAGACCGGTTCCTGTAGCCAACAGTACACAAGGCAATGATGTGGCTGGTATCATACCCAGCCATCTTTGGCTCCTCAGTTTGGCAAACTGAAGCCAGCCTTAAGAACAAGTCAGAAGGTGGTCTCACATTCATATCTCTGGAGCCATAGTGAGTTACCTTCATTTTTTGCCATCACATCTCAGAATGGGGTGGCCATTATAATCCAAGGAAGCTAAGACAAATTGGCTTCAAGGCAGAATCTGGTACAAAATATTTAACTGACTAGCCAGTGGTCTGGTATCAATTTCTGATTCTGAGTACACTGTTACTTCAGTGAAGGCTTTTGAAATAGCATTGAATTAGTTGTCTATCAGATTCACTTCATACTAGCAACATAAGTTCAGGTAATTGTACACTGGTTTATCTCTTGATTTGTGTGGTTGCTGGAGAGAGAGAGAGAGAGGAATAGTTATATTCAACTGTGATTAATTCCACCTCTTTTATTTGGTCTTCTCTTGCTCATCTTTGGCTGTCTCTAATCTCTTGTCCTATTCCTACCTTATGGTGTCTAACTCAAGATTCTGAAAGTAGTAAGGAAGAACCTGATGGCTTAGACAATGTTGTGGCCTGAGCTGGCATGGCTGTAGGCCTTAAGCTCTAGATCTACTCTGGTGCTAGTATGTGGACGTCAGTGAAACAAATGAAGCAAATTCTTTACCACTGCTAAGCCTATAAGCAAATGAACAATGTTTTATTTATCAAGCTGATGCTGTACAAATCACAGCTTTTGTACATTTTATTTCTAAAATAAATGGCTACAGAAGAGTTCTTACCTCTTGCGGGGGAATGTTCCAGGTAACAGTTCTCAGATCCACCTTGGTAAAAACATCTGTACATGGAAGTACCAAAAGCAGACCTGAAATGTTAAGAAAATCCTGAGTTTGAAACACTTGTCTGTGAGGGCTAAACCCTAATCCTAATATGCTGTTTATACATCAAGCAGACATATAAGCATATATTAATTATGGTGATACTTCATTCCCACAGTAGTGAGTTTTTCAGCATTAGGTGAAAAGGGAAAGATTTTATATTACATATAATGGAAGGAAATGCAAAGGTATTTAGATTAATTTAGCATGGTTAAAGGGGTAGAGCACAGAACTCATAATCAGGAGATCTCAATTTAGTCTCATACCTACTACATAACCTTGGAAGACTTACTTTGTCTCTGTGCCTCAGAAACTTGTCTACTTGCACTTTGAGTTATTTAAGTCTTTGGGATCATGGACCATTTAGCATACCTCCTCTGCTAGCCCCTGCCCAACTGTTGTTCTGTAGAAAGATGGCGGGGGGAAAGAGGGGCAGGAGGTGGATGGTTCGCATTGACCCTTTCCACAGCACGTTTTCCAATCAATTTCCTTTCTTCTGTGTGGTGCAGACATAATTATTTTAACATACTTGCTATAATAATAATCCAGGCACTACTGTATCATTGATTACTGTACTACTTCATTATTGTATTATTTGTATTATAATTTAGTCCCAGTGGGGATCCTGTGCTGTACAAACACACACATGCACATGATGCGCTCCAAAGCTTGGGACTTTAAATACACAAGATGGCTAAGCAATAGAAAAAAAGAAGTATCATCATGGCCACTTTACATGTGGAAACTGATGGAGTTAAGGGTCAGATCCAAATCTTTTTTGTAGGCACTTAAATGGGACTGGGGCAGAATTTAGGAACTCAGAGGCCAAGGTCCCATGGCCTTCTCAATCTAATGGGATTTCCATTTCCCACTTCCCAGGAGAGTATGCTACCATCCACCTGGCTATCCATCAGACTGGGCAGGGACATCACTCACTCCTCTGGCTGAAATTGAGATGGCTAGGAGTGCAAGGGTTATGGGGCCAGAAATACAGCAAGCAAGAAACCTTCCCCCTTGGCCTGTGAGAGAAGTTCTGGGTTCTGTTTCCAGGACTGTGTATATAGTTTACATTAAACAGCTGGTTAATAAAATAAAAAAGAGATAATTCTGGGTCCAGAGACCAGAACCCAGGACTCCCCTCTCATACTATATTCAGTATACTCAGTGTGATTTAGGCACCTCCTTTCTGGGTGCTAAGAGTCCTGAGATGGCAGGACTGCCTAATGGGCATGCATCTATGTTCTGAGAAGAGCCTAGTGTTTCTGATCAGCTCACTGTAGGCCCCTTCCTGTTCAGCACCTAAGTGCTCTGGATTACTCATTGAGGGCAGCTAACTCTGTCCATTGACTGGCCAGGAAACTAAGATCCCAGCACTATCAGTTTGGCTCACCCTCCTGGGATACAGTATCTAATGTTTAGGCACTGCAATACTCAAGTGGCGCTTTTGAGAATGATTTGTGTCCAGCCCTACATGACTTGGCAGAGGTCACCCAGGAAATCTATGGTAGAGATTGTACTTAGAGCTCTCAAATTCCAGTCAATTGTTTTTATCATACATTCATCTTTTCCCACCATGTGAGAAAGCCAAACTGATTCTCAGGATTTGATGACTTCCTGTGTTGTGCTGACTATTAATTTGGATTGCCCCTTTAAATAGAGCAGCCAACAAACAAGGAGCAGATGCACCCCTCAAGGTGAAAGAGTCACTTTGTACAGTTCATAGTGCCCTGGTCTGAATCATCCACACTTGACCAGGGCTCAGATGAACTTTCACAGCCAGAACAATTCCACATAGTCTCCAGAAATCTTCCTAGAATAAAAACACAGATACTTACCTGGACCCTTGGCTTTTTTAGGCAATATGCGTCCCAGCCTAAATACAACCGCACGTTCGTATTCTTTGATGATCTAGGGAACAAATGTCAAAGTATATTAAAGAAACCAACAAAATGCATGTCCAACTACACATTTTCTGGCTTGCCCTCCAGCTATTTTTTTGCTGTGAAATATGAGGCACTGATTCCACAAATACCTATAAACCTGATTCAGCATGTCAGTAGCTTCATTGGTTTCACTGTGAACTACTAATGGCTCCTATTTCAAATTAAGTATGTACCAAAGTGTTTGCAGGACTAAGGCCTAAAATTCCTTGGAATGGGGACTTGCATTGATATTTGTCTTTACTTATGTTTATCACTATGTCTGTGTCCTTCATCAACAATGAGCTTCTCAAAAACCTTTGTAAATTTATTATCCTACCATCCCTATAAGGTAGGGAAGTATTATCTACAGTGAACAGATGAAGAAACTGAGGCACAAAAAATGTAAGTGGTTTTTCTAGAATTATATAGGTAGTCTGTAGAAGAAGAACTGACACACCATTCTCTTGCCTCTCAGTCCCACAACTTAACTCCATACTCAGCCTCCTTCCATCCTGGTCAAAAAAGAACAGGAATAAGATCATTTTCTCAGTGCTCCCATTCCCATCAGCTTACCTTGACACACGCCCAGATGGAGAAAGGGAACGTTAGAACCACAAAGAGGAAAGAAAGGGAAACCAGGATCCAACCACAGACACCAATTCCTTCCTTTCTATCAGCTATAGAACACAAAGAGAGAAATCTGATCAGGCTCTTGGGCTTATAGTCAAATATTTGGCAGAACAACAAAATAGCTCCGCCTGTGGGAGACAAACAAGGCCTCCCAGTACATTTTAGTGGAGGAAGCATAGAGCTCTCTGCTGTTCTGCTCACTGCCCAGCTCTGCTTCCTTCCCTCAGCACTTGCTTATTGACTGAGGGGTTCTGGTCATGCCCGGAGACCCCCCACTGCCCAGATCAAAGCCACGGCTCTACTCAAGCCGAACAGCCCGTTGCATAGAGTGGTTAAAACACACCAGTTTCAATGGCCGATGGACACAAAGAGTGATGTATCTAGCACTACTGACTCCTCAGCCTAGATGACCTAGTGCTCATTGACAGGTGGATCAAGATGGGGAGGACAGATACAGTGTTTGGGGGTGGCATTTGGTATAAGCCTGGAATAGGACTATGAGCTCATGCTTTCTAAAGCCATAGCAGGACACCTTAACTACTCTGACACCACACACTGGCACCTGCCCAGCCATCAAAAGTTATTTTGGGGAGGGGAGAGAGGACCAAGAAGCTGTTCTTCTTTTAGGATGAAAGAAGATACTGAAGTTGTAGCACTTTTCACAGGAACAGCTGTGAAGAAGAACAATGAATGGGACAGTTCAGTTGAATCATGTGTACAAGTTCCTGAAGGGCAAAGGCCTTTTAGACTGGGAGAGCAGCTGGGGCATAAGTAAAAGGAACAAGGGCAGCAGCAAGGAGTGGCTGTCTTTGGGGGAAGGCTGCCTTAGAAGAAATTTTGGGAGCAGATTATGGTGGCAGAATGTGATTTTTGCCAGCCTCCTACTGAGAACAAGTGAAGCTGAAAGTAGCTGCCACTTCCAACCCTTCGCTCTGCACCCCCACTACAGCTGTCAGAGGGAAATATAAGACTTGAAGGACTCAAATCTAGTCCCTGCATTCACAGGGAACATCTACCTAAGGATTTGCGTGAAGTCCCAGAGCTCCAGGAAGAAGGCATCTTCAGAATCAAAGTGCCTGGATCCCTGCTCCAACCCTGCCTTCTACTGTGGTCTGGACATGGTCAGGGCAGGGCTGTCACCCATGCAAGAACTAAAATGTTTTCCCTGCCCATGTGCTTGTGCTTGTGCTTCTCCCTGGCAAGAAGACTTAACTTTTTCAAAACACCTCCCCGCCCCCACAACTGTCTATGAGGAAAGGGGCCTGCTGTGCTTGACTGCTGTATGAGCCAAGTTTCTGAGGTCCTTGCCACAGATTTATTAACTCACCTTGTCTTTACCCAAGAAGACCAAGTGTCAGGCTTTGTTCTGAATGTCCTGCCTTTCCTGCTAAAAGCATCTTGGCTTTTGTTCTCACCCATTTCAATGGAAAAAGACATTTAGATCCACAGTCAGAGCTAGGAGCAAGCTGGTGACTAGTAAAATATTCTCTCTCCCCTCACCATTGCTAAAACAGATTACTCAGACAGTTCCTCTAAGGAAATGACCATGCAAACCTCAAGAGAATATATGTATGTGAGGACAGGACAGAATCTTTGGGGGTTAGTGTTGAAAACATGTTGCTTCTTCACTCCAGCTACTGCCCTATTAGGACAGATCTACACTGCAAACTTCTACCAAGTCCACACGAGCTACTTCCTTAACCAGAAGATTATGGCCACGTTTGTACTGTGCTGCTGGCAGACTAATTAGCATTATCATTCCACGGTGGAGCAGCACAGCAAGTTTGAGGGTGGCGCTCTTTGGTGTGGTAAGTTTTTCCACTAACTGACAGGTGATAGCTGGTACATTAAGTGGCAGGCAAGTGGTTAAATGTCTCTTCTATCAAGTCAAAGAGAGCAGGATAGATTAGGGGGTAGACAGCATTAGAAATAGTTCAGCCAAACCTTAACAGGGAATCAATAGAATTGTTTTATTTGCGTACCAAACTTAGGCACGAGAGCTTCCTGAACTATTTCAAAATGATTCTGGAAAGCCTCACACATCACCAATAGTTGGGTAGAAACACACTAGCTGGGACTGATTTGGGACCAAATGCTCACATTTTTACAGACTGCCATCTTGCCTTTTTCTCAGCAACTGAGTATTGTGAGCCAGTAAAGGTAGGTGGTGCATTTACAAAGCACATTGGTACAATTGACTACTGCCAAGAGAATTATCCGAGAGGTGAGGAAGTCAACACAAACAGTTTGGACATTTTTGTGCAAATCTTACCACTATCACTCTGAGAAGAAGCAGCATACAAGAATATAACTATATAGTACTAAACCCAGACTAAGATGTCCAAAACCTCCCAAGATGTCTCATTAATTTCAGGAACTCCTTCTAATTAGTGGCCAAAGCTCTGAAAACCTTTGGGCTTCACCATCAGACAAATAGTGGAGATTATGAGAAAACAAGCTGCAAGACCTGACAGTGTATCCTATAGATCTACCACCTGGTTTCACCATACCAAATAAGAGATCCATCACAGCAACAGTATCAGAAACTCACATGTGCACTGCAATCATCTATTGGACAAGGAGATAGTGGAGAAGACAGCCAAAACATAAAGGACATCTAATAAACTACTGCTATCTATAATCCTTCCGTGGAAGAACAGGCTATGTCAATAGAGCCACAAAGTGGATGACAGTCTTTTGGATATCAAATTTTAATGTTGCTTTTTAGCAGCAGTAGAAGAATGACAAATAGAAGTCTACTGGGTCTATCCTGTAAAGATGGAGGCATGTGAAATGAGTAACTGATTTTTTCCCTCGACTCCCGTCGCCTTGCTTTCTGCCAGTATTAAATCTGAAGACTGACATTTGTCATGTTTATCTTACTCACTCTGATGATCAAATGCAATGTTAACAAATAATGGCCAATAGTTGTATAAATGTAGGTTTACCGTCTGCTCCAAGTACGAGACCCTCCTTGGGAATTAGGACTGTGTTTTAATCATAGAGGAATTTTACAGCTGCTGAAAAAGGCATACAGTATCTCAGCCTCAATCATCCTTCATGTATTTAGGCCCTGATTTCTTCCACCCTTATTTACCCACCCAGCACATACATCTCAGCTGACAGGACAAATTAGCCCTTTTGACCTCTGGAGAAAGTTGCACATCCCACTGCTTTCAGGTAAGGGTTGGGATATATTGGCAGGAGTTTAAATAGGATGGCTTTGTTTTTGGCCATGGAGATTTAGGATTTTAATCTCCAAGGAATCAACCCAAGGCTTTTGACCCACATTTAATTTCACACACACGAGTTTGTTATTTATTGAAAGTAACACTGAAAAGAGGGCTTACCAACTAGATTCTCCACACTCTCTTTCCTAGGTGTATTTGTCTTAGAATCCATCTCATCCTAGGGAAATTCTTATCACCTCACAGGCAGATACACTTTCAAAGAGCACAAAGGTCTGGAAAAGAAAAGTACAGCAAGAGAAGGACAAATTCTCATCTGTGTGAGAGCTCTCCTGGGGTTAGTTGCCCTGGTGAGGACACAATGTTTACAAAAAACAAAGTCTAATGGGTCACGTTCATCTCTGAAGGAACTCTACTGTCTTCTGTGGTTTTACCACAGGGATGAATTTGGCCAAGCCCTTTCAAGTCAGTTCAGTGCTCTCCTTGGGAACAATCAGCACGTAGCTCAACAGTGAATGACACCATTTACAAGGCCAGATTATAAAGGGAACAAATGATCAAGGCAGAGCATGAGCTCTTCAGGGCAGGGACTTTGTCTTACTCCATCTTAGTACAGCGCCCACTGTAATGGGACCCAATTTTGATTACAGTCCCTAGGTAGCACTGTAATACAAATATTCCCTAAGGCAAATTCTTCACTCAAGTTAATTTGAGATACCTTAAAATTTTTATTGCAGGACCCAGAGGCCAACCAAATGGGAGGCCTTGTTGTGCTAGATGAATCAGATGAAATTCAAGAAGGACAAATGCAAAGTTCTGCGTTTGGAACGGAATAATTGTATGTGCAAATACAGAATGGAAAATGATTGATTAGGCTGCAGTACTGGGGGGACCTAAAGATTACAGCAGATCATAAACTGAATATGAGTCAACTAGTGAATTGTCCAGATTAATGATCCAAGCCGAGGTCTATGACTGATGTATGGCTTAACAAGGCAGTTGGCATAAGCTACCTACCTGTAATTAGGCACATCTAAACAGCTTTAAAAAATATATATATTTTAACTAAACAAATTC